GTATATATATATATATATATATATATATATATATATATATATATATATATATATATATATATATATATATACTTTTTTGTTTTATTTTATTTTCTTGCTTTATTTTATCTATTTTATGCAGCATTAAAGAGCGGTCTTCTATTATATATGTGTATATATATAATGCTATTTTGATTTATTTTATTTTTTTGTTTTATTTCACCTATTTTATTTTGTATGTATGCTATGCGATGCATACGGACATGGATCACTTGTATCCGTAAGGGAACCAATATAAAGTTCATTAATTTCCCAGGTGAGATGAAGCAATTTACAAGAGATAATACCGCCGGAAATTCGCGTCGATTAATTGGTAAAGGACGTCGCGTTCGCGCCGCGCTGACGTAAGGAATTCAAACAACGTTTCGCACTGCTGCGTGATTTATTTGGCCGCGTAATTTCGACTGGCGACTTGATTTATGCTCTCGGTCGCATTGTAGGTAATAATGGATTAATATCTCGATAATAAACGAGCGCCGGCTGATTAACCACGGCCCAGTGAGTTTCGTATTTAGCCGACGACAATTATGTAAATGAGATCATTGGTGGGGGGGGGGGGGTCGCTCCTTTCCCGGTCGCGACGAGATATCGGCGGACAGTTTTGACGGAAATAAGGAAATAGACAACTCGAAAATGGAGCAAACGGGTGGCACGAGAAAAAAGAGAGAAAGAGAGAGAGAGAGAGAGAGAGAGATTTTATTTCTATCGCGTGTTATCGCATAGATATCGGACTCGGATCTTTGAACGATCTGCTCGGGCTGATTATTTTGAAGAAAACAACATGAGATATTGTGTGTTTTGTTTCCATCGTGTTTGATTGATTCTGTCTTAAAAACTAATTGTTCTAATTCTGAACTACGATCAGACTGAGGGTTTGCGTCGCGACGCAATCGTAGTTCAGAATCATAATGTTCACCCAGTAGACGCGCCACATCGTTGTACGGGACTCCCAGAGTACGTGCGTCGCCTACCCCACTCCTTGCGTAACATATTTTTCTGTGAACACTGCACACGCCGGCTGCTTTATATCTCGTGAACATTAACCCTTTGCACTCGAGGGCTCCGGAGCGGAACCATTTAAAATTTGTCTTCAAACTCGAGGGCTCCGCTACGGAGACAATGCAAATAATTTTCAGTTTTTAACATAAGAACAAAAACAAATCGTAAAAATTAGTTATAGGATGTTTCGCTGTTGGTGACAAATGACGTTTGTATCCATAAACAATTAAAAAAATAATAACATACAACGATGACTTTTCTTTTAATGCTTATATCATGAACTTACATGTGAATATGATCTTTTCACTAAAATGACTTCGAGTTGCTGGTAATATGACTCAAAAAAAACTTCGAGTGCAAAGGGTTAAACATCTTCTCACAGCTTTCTTGATTTTCGTCTCATGCACGTTTAATTCCGTCTCGTAACGCGAGAAAATCAACGTAGCAAATATCGCGGCGGATCGCGATAAAATCCGATAAAAATACACGACAAACGTCGTCGTTGAAAGCCACCGTTTCTCGGAAGATTCGTCGTGACAGAAGCGGTCGTCGATATCAATTCTAACTTTATTGTCCCAGCTACCTTGGCTAGAAAGCTTGTTGAACGAACGTGACAAATAATAAGCAAGGATATGGTTCGAGTTTCTCTACGATATTTTCAGTCACCGTTTACCTCGTATTATATGGAAAACGTTCTTAAAATTTATCTCGCTGTTAATTTGCATGCATAGATTGATGTTTCCCGGTTCCGATTTACGCGATTTTTAAAATTTATAATTATAATTTCAAACCGGCAAAATAAATTGTGTAGTTTCAAGTTGTAACAATATCTTCTAAAGGCTGAATTTTAAATTCTTGTTAATAATCCAGAACATTGTTTTACGTGTATTTATAAAAATGAGAAAAATTTTGTTTTGAACGGACAAATCAATTGTGTAGTCTTAATTTATAATGTCTTCGCTTCCGACCAACTGTTTTTAAATCATTGAAAATTTCAGAAACTTTTTATGGTGTTCGTAACGAAATAAATAAGTACTGTAAATTCCCTCTAATTGTTCCTCAGCTTGTAAACACAAAAACGGACGATTTGGGAAGAGGAGATACGATTATTCGAGTCTTGCAGCTCGTTTTTAAAGTTGTTGACAATCGGCGACTATAAAGTTTCCACGAGGGTGACAAGGGTTCCGTCGAGAAATATTTCACCGACGAGGAATCTGCTAAAAATTGAAAACAAATCATTACCAAATCGTCCAGAGATTTCATTGGCGACCCTAGATGCCTCGAGGGACGCCGCGTCGGCCATCTTGGCCGCGACGAGAGTCGCGATCGGTGACAGTGAGAAGAAGCTGTGCGTCATCTAGGCATGTTCCACACTACGTTCGAGAATATTACCGAAGCAAGACCATCATTCGCATGCAATGACAAGGTCTACAGAGAAACAGGTGAAACATTAAATCTACGATCAGAAGCGAGAAAGCGCGTCGTTGAGCAAGCAGAGAA